TAACATGGATTTTTTCAGGTACATATCCTACAATTTAACCCATTAATTTAAGACACAATGATGAAACTTTGGGTTAACATAAGAAAGGATGACGATGTTAAAAACTAACACATCGTAACTATTTTGAATATAAACACTCATCATTAGGCTATAGAATTATCGATGCATTGCGGGTATATTATTATTATTATTATTATTATTATTATTATTATTAAAATAACCTTCCAATTAAATCTTGATATCAGTTTCGCAAAGTTATTAGTTTATTATAAATTTTTCCTTAATGAGAATTTGAGAATATCACATTGAAATCACTGCAGATATCAACGTAGAAAATGCGCAGTAGAATGTAGCAGACACAAAAAGAAAACTGCAGAACTCAGACAAGGTGGCAAAGGAAAGCGATATGAAAGAACTTAACCATCAATTGTTAGAAGACAGAATATATGGTTGTTAGCAAAATGGCCACAGCCCAAAATGCTAGAGAAGATTTGGAAACGTCAAAATTAAACAAATACAGAAATTGACTTATTTGAAAAGTACTTGGCAGAAAGAGGGATAGCAAAAAAAAAAAAAAAAAGGACAAGAAGTCGTGGAGAATCAGGGTCACCCACGCCCTGAAGGGATGCTGTATGTAGAAGAAGAATGGAACTTCTCTAACAAATGTGACACAAAAATCTGAAGTAGAATTTTCGTGATATCCCATAAAATTTAGTGATTTGTAATCCACATGTGTTGTTCAATTGCCCAGAAATCTACCTGAACATATTTTCCTGACAAGATAGATATGAACAGAGTAAGATAGATAGATAGATAGATAGAGAGAGAGAGAGAGAAAGAGAGAGAGAGATGAATAGATAGATAGATAGATAGATAGATAGATAGATAGATAGATAGATAGATAGATAGATAGATATGAACAGAGTGAGACAAATATGTTATTATGCATATGTTACGTATATTTAAGTAGCAAGGATTCATTTTTCTAGGTTTTGATAAATTCATCCGACAAAACATGTCTGTTTAAAGTTGATGCATATTCAAATCAAATTTCGGAAAAGCTCATTTTATTTATTTAATTTTTTTTATTTATTTATTTATTTATTTATTTATTTATTTTGTTCAAGTGTACTTAGTACATTTTATACTGATAGTTGAACTTAAATTATTTGATAAGATATCAGTATAATCCATAGTATATACTGGGAGCAAAATGCCTGCATCCGGGTATAAAATGGATTTAGTTCGTACAAAAAATGGAAACGAGCGAAATCCTCTTACCGGATTTATTTAACCTTTACAGTGAGGCAATAATAAGAGAACCTCTGCCTGTGTTTATTACTGGTTGGCACAATAATGACAAGATATGCAAATGAGACCGTGTTTATGACAGACGCAGGAAGAAACCTGCCGGGACACCTTAACAAGGGAGTTAAGAAAAGTAAGAAGAAGAGCCTAACAATAAATTATATGAAAACAAAATGTATGGTTGTTAGAGGAACAGCCCAAGATGCTACGAAATCGATATGTTAACATCGATATGTTAACATCAAGTACGTACAAAAATGTAAATGTCGTCGAGGTCTTTTAATAGATGACGGATAATGATACTGAAAAGAGCATAGAAATAGCCAAATATGCCTTTCAGAGACTAAACAAAGCATTAAGGGACAGAAAAAACCTTGTTACAAATAAAAGAGTATTGTATAGCTATATAACGTAATTCCTCCAATATGACAACGAATGCCGGACAGCTTCCTAGCAAATGAAAAGATTTAAGGCAACAGAAATGTGGTTATACAGAAGGATGTTAGGAATACCATGGATTAAACATGCGACCAACGAGGAAGTTTTAAGGAAAATGGAAAACAAGAAGGGCACTTGTACTTAGAATCAGAAAGAGACATCTCTGGGATATGTAACAAAAGAGGGCTTTTGGCATTTGGCGCACACCGAACATTTTGAAGGCAGGAAGGGCAGATTGATTGATTCATTTTCTATGGTTTATCAACCTTTTTAAGATTATTTAAAGACAGAAAATAATTTTAGATCTAAGTATTTCTTTTTGAGATAATAATGATTTAGTGGTACAAGTCTTACTAATTAACCCATAACTGGAGAAAAAGAGGTGGATTTGTAAACCCAACTAGAATTAGAACTCGACTCTCCAATTAATAATTCCGAGCTATTATGAATTTTAACACCTGCATATCTAAGCTTAAAACACCTGGTATTCTCAAGTGGTCACCCATCTAAATACTGACCAGACTCGATGTTGCTTCAGCCTGATGAGGCCGTAAGCCCTAGAAAGGGCAAAGTGAAACAGTAAGTAACATAACTAACAAAAGCTTGTATAAATGAATAGAACAAGAACTGGAAAAGAGAATAAGGATAAAAATTTACCTAAAAGGATGAGAAGTTGTGGAGAAACATGATCGCACTCTTTCTGAAGGAAAACAGCACATGAGATTTAATGAAGATTTTGTCTTTAAAATGACTCATGTCTTCCTTATCTTTGCTTTGTTTCAATGTTGCCTTAGGACTAACATCCCTATCTTTGTTATTATTCAATGATTATTTGGGACTAAAACTCCCAACTTTTTTTGTTTCTTCCTTCCGTAGTTGTCACTGAAAAGATTAATGAACGCTTTCTAACACGATGAGAAACCGAACATATTTAAAGAGATTAAGGTTTCCCAATTTTCTAAGTAAAATAAAGTGGCCTTCTAGTTTTCGATAATTGCGCTTCCATTTAACTCTCATCAACGAGATTAGACAACAGTAAATGGTTCCAAATCAGTTGTCCGTTTAAGGAGAAACAGTTGCGATTGACCTTTCTGGATATTTTTACTTCGATGAACAAAAAAAAAAAGAAGAAAACTACGAAGATATATTTTTCTTTTTTAAATTTTTATTCTCCACATGGGTAAAAGTAAATGGCGTAGATATTCTACAAGTTGTTTTAACATCCTTTTGTATCCTTTTATTTTAGATATTTATTTAAATGTAGATCGTGAATAATGGTCTTCTTTCATTTTCCTTTTACATTTTCTTAATCTTCATTCTTAACTTTATTCCTTCTCATCTTCTCCTGCTCATCTGAACCGGTCTTCATAGCCTTAACTTCTTTTCCTTCAAATGTTCCCACCTCTCTCTCTCTCTCTCTCTCTCTCTCTCCCCTAATTCTTATTTTTACTCTTTCTCTTCCTTCTTCTTCCTCTTTGCTGGCTTATCACTCGACAGTCTTTCTCTTCGATCTACTCTCTATTCACTCTTTTCTCCTCTTCCTCCTTCACTTCGTGACCGAACTTTTTCTTTCACTTTCACGTACTTACTCAAGGCAGCACTTCACCTCAAAATAGCGGGCTTTTAAAATTTTTGGACGGGTGTCTGCACTAGAATTGAAATAATCGGGACCATTGTATGCATTATCAGTTATTTTATCAGTTAAAACGACGGAAATTCCATTCAATAATGGATTCTGTCACCAACTTCTCTTGGCTTTTCTCCGTTTGACTTTCTTCTTCTTCTTCTTCTTCTTCTTCTTCTTCTTCTTCTTCTTCTTCTTCCTCTACTACTACTACTACTCCCTCATATTCTTATTGTTATTCTATTCATCACCTTTTTCGCAATTTCTTTTTATTCATGGATTTTGTTGTAGTTGTTTTTTTTTCTTCGTCTTTATTTTGCATTTTTTTACCTTCTTGTATCTCTGTCTCTCCTTTTCCTTTCGTCTATTTCTTACCGTTTTCTTCTTCCTTTTTAGGTTCTTTGTTTTTTCTCACTTTCTTGTGTGTGCTTTACCGAATTTTTCTAGTATGTTTGCTCATTTCTTCCTCATTTTTCTCTTGTGTATAATTATCACTCTCTCTCTCTCTCTCTCTCTCTCTCTCTATATATATATATATATATATATATATATATATATATATATATATATATATCTTCGTCTCTTTTAATCTATTTTTATATTTTCCTTCCTCTCGTTATTACGAGGATATGTCCTCGCCGTATTTTTTTTCTTCCTCCTCATTCTTTCCTTCATCATTCTTCATATGTTGTTCTTTTAAAAATCAATGCTATTCAATATTTCTCTTTTTCTTCTCATCTTTCTTCTTTTCATCTTTTTTTATATTTATTTCTTGTTTCTCCTCCCCCCATGTTGCTCTTATTACAATTTAATTTACTCCCTTTTATTAAAGAAAGAAAGAATAAGAGAAATAATGAGAGAAAGACAGAAGCATAGGTGTTACTATTTCTATTAGCTGAAACATCATTTTTCGTATATCATTATTATTATTTAGCATCTATACGAGAAAGTGTTTTAATGTGATAATAAACAAAAACTACAGTATAGTCTCTTCCCTTCTATCTTTCCTCTTAATTATACGTTTTTTTATCATTATTTGAAAATAAAATAAAAACAAAGATAAAAGGTCAGTGTGCCAAATATGAGTAGAAGTTGCATGGTAATTATAATTGTAATATTAGCCGTTTCTCTATAAGGAAACATTCGGCATTCATTGACTGTACAGCCAGTACTGCTTTCGGTTGAAATTAAAGAAAATCTTTTTCTTAAAACATTTTTTTAGGAAAACACGTTTCTCAAGTCCAATAGTTGTTACGTCATTTCCAGTATTGGAAGACGTTTCCTTCCTCACCTTTTCTTTAAAGTGGTGTGGGATGTTAACATCCTAATTATGTCATTATTTTCTCTCATACTTACATGTGCTATCCATTTTAGTTGCTGCTGCTGTTGGCAGTCATCAAATGATGTGGTTTCTGTTATGTAGTAGAATTCTTTGTTTGGGATACTATGGCGCCAGTTCATAAAGTTTAAAGATTACCTTTGCCAAGACACTCAGGATTTATGTGTCCAAAGCGGTTTTTAACCATTGATCTCAGGAAACGGTTGTTTACAGCTGACATGTAAGACATTTCTGACCGAGTTTGGCATCATGCATGACATCGATATGAAAGTCTCTATCTGATGAGGCTATTTAAAAACTTGACTCGAGCTTTCTGGTTTTCGTAGCAAATTTCTTTTTTCCTATATTTAATTTATTATAACTGATCCATACATGTATATGAAGTGTTTAGTATTTACTAATTCCACACCCTTTATTTTTATGATGGATTCAGGCTAGGTGCCATCATTGCTTTTATTCCAATTCCATATCATAATTTCTGTTTTGGAAAGGTTTATCTTGAGTCCCATTTCTTGGAACACTTGATAGAGGATGCTGAACTTCAAGATCATTCTTATCCTAAATATGAATAACTATGACATCAGCACCCCCTCCCCATCATCATGAGCAGCAGCAGCACATTGGTTTTGGGAGGGAAAGCAGAATCGTTATCTTCTATTGGTAGACTCGTTGCTCAGAGCCCGTCTCATCACATCTGTGTTTGTAAATGCGTAGCGCATAGTCTAGAACGAGAATTGAATAGGCTGGGACCTTCATTCCCTCCTTGTCGTACACCTGATGAGTTCTGAAGTGTCCTGCGTATTGAGGTCCTCACCAGACATGTAAAATTCTGTAGATCGATGCAGTTCCTCTATGAGATCGTGTGTTACATTCAGTAGATTCGGAGTTTGGAAGACTGATTCTAATGGATGAAAAGAGGAAATCTTTATTGATATGCTTATATGCTGTTTTGATGGCGACAAAGTAGGTATACAGTTTTTATTAGAGAGGCAGGCAATTTCTTGGAGTTGTTTGATGACATTATATGCCATTATTGCATGCCATTGCATTATCGGAACGATATACATCATCATTATTTCCTTGGATTTCTGTTTTATACACATTTCCTATCAGGTTGCAACCAGAGAACTAAGGCCAGAAATGGTATCATGCTATTTCCCACTGATTCTGTTTTGTAAAAAACAAAAAACACATTTTACATAGATAAAGGTCTTTGTAATGTGAGAGCTGTACTTGTGAGTACAATTTTTGTGTTTCTTTAAGGCATGGGCCTACCAGGGATCCCTTCCATGAGTCTATCGGAACCTTTTCCACTCAATCAGTGGGGTTCTAACAACAATAGGAATTATTGATGTTCTCATTTTTTGGACTTCAACTTCAAGATCCTTTTATTTAGATAGCGTTTTGAAGATCTTCAAAGATACATTACAATCTGCATGGACTGCTATGTCAATAAGAAAACATATTCTGTTTTTTGTGGTCTTTAATTATAATGTCTAGGCAATTAACTTTGTTTGTTCTGTCTGTGTGTATTGTAAAGTTCCATAAAATCGTTACAGATATTATCTTTGTAACCAGGTCTAGCTGATGTTCATACCAGTTTCTTGCAGTTTCCTTCCAGTAAAAGTTGCATATTTTCCAGTGCAGATATTGACCCACTCTCTCACTGATGGGTACGAGGTTTGTCTACATCAGTTTGTTTGATACGGGCAGAGTATTGAGCATAAAGTGGGTTATCGTTCCATCGTTTCTGCATTTGGTACATGGTTGTTTGCCGTTATGGTTCTTTGCCGTTATGGTTTATTTGAACAGCAAATCTCACTTGAATTTCAATTTTGAATTTGTTGGCTTCCTTTATTACTAAATAAAGCTTCTTATTTATTTCATATTCTTTGATACAGATCATCATCTAGTTTTCTGTAGTTTCCAGGTATCTTTAAAAACCGATTGTTGTGGTTTTGTAAGACAGTTCTAGTTGAAATAATCCTCTGCCTCCTTCGGTCCTGGGTGCGTACAAATGATCAACGTCAGCCTTACAATGGTGCATGTTTGACATCTATTCACTTTATGTCAGCTATAGTTCAATTTAAGATATTTAAACTGTATTGCACCACAGGAACAGCCAAAGTGTTTATGGTTGATGTTGTATTTTGTTAATTCACCTCGGTATTTAATACCAGACACGCACGTATTTTTTCTTACTTTCTCCATCATTTGGGTATACTGTATTCTATCTCCTTTGCTGACTACTAAATATTTATAGGCTTCTGTTTGTTCAAGTCCTTAATCTTTGTGACAAAATCTAAATCTATTGAGTATGTTTCTGTAATTCTACCTTCCTTTGCACATTTATCTAATCCGAAATCCATACAGATGTCATCGCTGAAGCATTTTACAGTATTGTGGGTACCCTTCAACACATTGTCGTCTTTGGCAAAGAGTTTGATATAATCCATGTAAAATAGGTGATTAAGCACTTTCTTGTTTTACTTGTATTCATAGTTGTTACTGTTTAGATCATTCGAAAGGGAGACAGACAGAACAAAAGGGACGACAAGGTGTCTCATTGAAAGATTCCTAGTCAGATATTCAAAAAAATTCGACGTGGCATAACTTTGATGCGATTTAGGTATAATGTGGTTTTCCACGGTTCCTTTCTATATTTAAGGACCTTTACTATCACCGAGGAGACTTTGTGCATTTCGAAACCCTTAAGGATCCAAGAGTGTGGCACACTATCAAAAGCTTTGCGGTTATCTATCCAAGCTGCGCTGAAATATCTACCTTTTGTTTCTGCAATTTTTCAGGATCATTTTATTTATCAGTAGTTGATCTTTGCAACCATGTGAACTTCTCCGGCATACATTCTGTTCCAGAGGAAGAATATTGTTTTCATCCCAAAAAGAGTAAATACGGTTCGTCAGAGTAGACATGATAAACTTATGTGGTGGACAGACATGTTATTGGCCTATCATTTTTTGGATCATCTGTTTCTTCCGTTTTTGGTAGGAGATATGTAATACCTTCAGTGATTCATTCTGGAATTTCATTAGGGTTATTAATTAACATTGATAAGATTTGCGCAATAATTTTATAGATTGATGAGAGATGATAGAGGCAAAAGCTGGGTACCTTGTCGCTTTGGGGGATTTTGTTAGAGAGTACCTAACATTATTCTTGGTTATATTTTTCCATTATTGCACAGTTTTATTCTTCATTCATTTTGCAAGGAATTGTATTCCTTTGGTTTGCTCCAAATCTACTCCCAATATTTTTTGCACTTCTTCAACAGATGGTGGCTTTTTGACTTCTATAACTGCTTTTTTCAATTTCCTTGTAAAAATTACTGAGATCTGTTTGGAATATTTTATTTCGTCTTTTTCATATCGTCTTCTTCTCTGTGCCTTTAATTGCATTTTCTATTTGGGTATTTCCTTGATTGGTGGAATTTCATTTACTGATTTAATTCTATATTTCCACTTGATCTTCTTGTTTTGCCGTGATGAAACATTTGAATTTCTTGAAATCTCATCTAGTATCGATAATTCACATCTGATTTCCTCAATTTTCCCTTTAATTTTGACTGGTAAGTGGGGTCTTTTATCTGTTTATTTCTCTTCATATTACGTTTTTCAGTAGCTGCCAATGCTGTTGTATATATGACATTATTTATTTTTCTGATGTTTTTTATTTATTTATTTACTTATTATTATTATTATTATTATTATTATTATTTCGCTATTTACGTGGTCATAACATATATCCGGTAGTTATCGGTGGAAATTGAGTGTCAGCCAGTCTCCCCAAATTTCCATCATTTACCTCTGGATATTTTCTATAGACCCTAGAAATTATGGACAAAGGTCGAATCGTAGTTTATTTTTCTCGTTTTCTTTTTCTTTTTTTTTCCCGTTTTCATGGTTCGCTAATGCAGCTACATTCACTTTGTCTTTTCCTTGTTGACTGCTATAAGCGAAAAAGTTAAAATAAAAAAAAACCTATTGGACTAGTTAAACAGTCATTTGTCCTTATTTGTATTCACTTTCCACACAAATAGAATCTGAGGTCTTTTACTGGAGATCATGTGATAGCAAATCTCCTCGATACTCCATTGTTTTCTTCATTTATTCTAGCCATGTCTTTTCTGCTCAGGTTTCACACTCGTCGAAAGTCGTAGCTATCATTGACAACCAATCAATTCCGTCGGTCAATACTCACCATTGTATTCTAGATGATTTTGTTTTGATTCTCTTTGGATTTCAGTTTAGCCAATCTTTAAGTAAACTTTCTCACGACTGTTCCAAGTGCGCCAATAATGACGAATGCAATGATGAAATGTTTCCTAGTTTTCACGTAAGATTTAAACATGTCTCAAAATTCAGTAACGTCGTTTTATATTACTAGCACCTTCCACAATTTCATCTCAAACTTTCAA